CCCAGAAGCCATAGCGTAAATCAATAGCTTCTCCGGTCGAAACATCTAACGTTTTATTTTCCTGTGTTCATGTCCATAACTAATACACTAGTCTTGACTCTTTTTGAAATACTTACACGGGTTTATATTACCACTAACGTATTTCCATTTTATTCGCAAAGCTTCAGGTTTTTTTTTTTTAATTTACATTTCTGTATGCCCAACATGAATCCGATTCCAAGCCAAAGGAATACACACACACACACACATTTTCTTATTCTATATTAAAAATGTATTACCCAGATTAATATTACCCAATTAATAACGCTTTTTGGATTTGTTTTAAATCCAGTTAAGAGCTTAAATCAGAAAATAGTTTTCAAAAATAGATTTCCCATTTCTACTGTCTTGCATCAGCCTCCTCCCCCCTAAAGCTTCCAAGGAAACCCCCAATCCCGAAATGCGCCCCTTTAAAGCTTGGCAATGAGCAGATTACCCAACAATAGTTTCATGTATTTGTTTATTATTAAGCACAAAATGCTATCTATGCTCTACCCACCACGGGTATCGAAACCCGGTTTCTGGCGTTGTCAGTCCAATACATGCCGCTGTGCCACTGGGAGGCAGTTTCATGTAGGTTATAACTCAAGACTAACGTTTTATGGGTTAAAATACACATATACATTAACATATGGTAGCATCTTACTTAAAATATTAGAAAATATGGGAGTTTTTTTTCTTCTTCTCAATTTCTAAAAAAACCTTACGTGATAGTTTGTTTTGAATTTCGAGCAAAGCTACACGAGAGCTATCTACGCTAGCCGTCCCTAATTTAGCAGTGAAAGATTAGAGGGAAGGCAGCTAGTCATCACCACCACCCACCGCCAACTCTTGGGCTACTCTTTTACCAATGAATAGTGGCATTGACCGTGACATTATACCGCCCTAACCACCTGGTCAGTAAATGTGATATAACAAATAAAAGCAAGATACAACTACCGTTAACTTATATACATTGTTATATCTCAAGGATTTCGATGAATTCATTTTCTAAGCATTCATCCCCCAACCACGTCCACGACTTGTCGTTTCTCATTCCTTCCAACTCTCTATGGGCTCCATTTTATTCTTTTTGTTAGACGAAACTAACAGTATCGTACAGATCATGTAGTTAACGTGTGAGCGGGACGTGGCTTTGTGGTTAGCGTGTAGAGCTATGGTTCGAAACGTGGTCAACACGCTCCCCACTACCTTCTATGAATGCATTGTAAACGTGACAATCTCGTTAATGGATTGAAAAATCTATAGAAAACCCTTGCGACGGCGGGTGCTTTTGACTGGCTGTCACCTACCTGTTCAGTAGTTCAAAATTAGGTACGGCTGTACTGAATCCTAAAGGTCTCTGATCCAGTCCTATTTACCCCATGTGCGCATCATTCAGGTTGAAAATCCGAACTCCAGCTAATTAATACGCATGGCCATTGAATAGCTTTTTGAAGTGCGTAAGAATAGAAGCTGTTGACGTTTATTGTTAATGTCTAATAGAATAATTTTAAGAATCGTTAATGACCACTTTTTGTTTTCATTTAAGTAACATTAATGCTGCCAGTTGGAAGTATACTACGATCGAAAAGTGAAACGTTTCTTTGGATACATTACAACGCAACAAAATTTGGCAACATTAGCGTATTTTATACACAATCTAAATATGCCGTTATATTTTATTTAAAAAACTTGCAAATAGATTTTTTCTTCCAACATTTGTTTGTTTGTTGTTAAGCACAAAGTGGCATTATGTTTCAGGGATCGAGTTCCGAATTTTAGCGTTATAAACTTGCAAACTTACTGCTGAGCCATTGCTGGAGCTTTTTTATCTTTTTTTTTCTTCACAAAAGTGATTTCAGAGAAACACGAGCGCCCTCTAGAATGAGAATGACACGTAAAGATATTTCAGGGATGAAAGTAATATTTCACCAGATGGCTAAGCACCTTAACTATAAATAACATCATAATATTTTTAAGGGTAAAATATTATACCGCCATAAAAAAAAAAACCTTTGCCGTGATTTTAAAAGTCACATAAGGCAGGTGATTTCGAACTCCGGTCCAAATGGTACAAGCAGCTGCGAATGGTGAACTGGATGCCAGTCCGTCTGAAGTTAACCTCCTGCTAATGTCTATGTACTTATCATACAGCTGGGTAGACTGGAACATGTGGGACAGTGTCTTGCTCAAGGACACAACAGCATGGCGCAGACTAGTCTCGAACTCGCAATCATTCGACTACGAGTTCAGAGCACGAAGCCCCCCCCCCCATAACGTCACAGTAGTCTTTAAATCTGGCTGTCAGGTTACATTCTTTCACCATATTCTCTGGAGAATCATCATTTTGCTTGGAGCTTAGAACGCTGAAATTCAAGGTTCGATCCCTGGACGCAACGCAGACAGCCCGTTGCGTAGTTTTTTTGCTAAAACAAAAGGGAGGCGAAATCGTTACTGCAACAAAGACACACTAGTTCGTCTGTTTGTTGTTAAGCGCAAAGCTACACAAAGGGTTGTCTGTGCTGTGCCAACCATGAGTATCGAAACCCAGTTTCTAGCGTTTCGAGTCCGCAGATTTTTCCGCTGTGCCACTGGGGGCCTAGTTCGTACGAGTTAATTAAATCAGTTAATAAGTGGCACTACAATCAGTGTTCAAGAAATGGCTTTTATTACGACAAACCAGAACCAATCAACTACTAACACTGTTTATCTCCTGTTGAATACGATGTCCAGCGTACCTGCCTTACTACCTCGGTATTGCAAACACGCTCCATTCAGCTTCTTTCTCAACACACAGATATTGCGCTCATTTCAGTCTTTCCGCGCAGAGCTACAGAAAGGAATATCTGAGAACAGATGTCCCAAATGTTTGACTGGAAGACTAGGGTGAAGGCAGTTTGTCAACAGCACCCACCACTAACAATTGGGCTACTCTTGTCTGATCGAACAGAGGATTTGACCGTCAATGTTTGTAGCGCGGTCACGGCCAAAGTGCGAAGCAAAAGGGTGCAAACCACGAACCTTTGACTTCACATACACTAATCTACGCCTGGTCCTTATTTTCCTAACATTCAGACATTATACGACCACACAAGTTTTTGAACTTATACTGTAACTGTTTTAAGATTATACTGACCACCAGGGGAACGAAACAACCACCATATTTCTACCAAACTTTAGAACAAGTTAATCTGAAAACGAGTATTTTTTTAGCGTGTTTAACACCGACAGAGAAACCACTGGCAAAAACTACATATTTTTAGCTTCTCATTTCTGGGATTTTGATATTCTTTCTCCTTTATATCACACTATACAAAACTCAGAGGTAAAGCTACCATTGATAGGTACCCTCTGTATATTTTTAAAATGTCAATAAACACATCAAAGTTACCATTTTATTTAGGAAAATAAACTCGTAGTATTACTCTGGTTATCATGGATGGTAAAACTACATCTATTTGTGCACAATAATTCAGACTCAACTAACAAGGTAAAAGCACTAAATAAGACTTGGTTTTTAAGATAATTGTTTCTCTTTGTTTGTCACCAAAAGTCAAAATTGTTGTCTGGTTCAGTTGTATCTCTGTATTATAGGCCTACATCTTCCGTTACAGTCCCATATTTTAAAGTTCCACACTACAAGCCTATTA